CCCCAGGGGGGTCCGGGCAGGATCCGGGGAGAATCCGCGGATCCGCCAGTGACTATGGGGAACGCACCACTGAGGCTGAGGCTGAGGCCCCCAGCGCCGCCAGTGACTATGGGGAACGCACCACTGAGGCTGAGGCTGAGGCCCCCAGCGCCGCCAGTGACTATGGGGAGCGCACCACTGAGGCTGAGGCTGAGGCCCCCTCCGCCGCCAGTGACTTTGGGGAATCTACCACTGAGGCTGATGCTGCGGCCCCCAGCGCCGCCAGTGACTATGGGGAATCCACCGCTGAGGCTGCGGCTGAGGCTGAGGCTGAGGCAGGCTGAGGCTGAGGCTGAGGCAGGCTCAAGCCGAGGCTGAGGCTGAGGTTGAGGCTGAGGCTGAGGCTGAGGCTGATGCAGGCTGAGGCTGATGCAGGCTGAGGCTGAGGCCGAGACTGACGCAGGCTGAGGCTGAGGCAGGCTGAGGCTGAGGCTGAGGTTGAGGCTGAGGCTGCGATTGCGACTGCGACTGCGATTACACCAGAATTCTACAACAGGACTCCTACATGAATCTCAAAGCAATGCTTCCAGATATGCTACTACACATCGCTGTTAGGTTGCTTTGCCGGGATAATTTTCTTATATGTTCTGGGTCTTTGTCTTCCCCCCCACTTCCCATATTTTCCCATATTTTCCTTGGAATCGACGATTCGTTGTTCCTGTGTGTTTTTTCCCCTCCTGATCCTCGTCCGGGGGCGCATCCGTGCCATGCTGTGCCCCACCCCCCCCCTGGGCGCGAAGTCTGGAGCCCGTCCAGGCCTCCGAGCTGGGAGGGGCAGCGGCCTCCTCGCCCCAGAGCGGCCCCCCCGTTGGGGAGGGGGGGGCCTCCATCAGACCAGGGGGGCCCGGAGCAGGTCGGGCTCGCCAAGCGCTCTCGGCCGCGCACTTTTTCGATCCGCGGGCCCTCCTCCTCCTCCTCCTCCTCCTCCTCCTCCTCCTCCTCCTCCTCCTCCTCCTCCTCCTCCTCTTCCTCCTCCTCCTCCTCCTCCTCGAAGCTAAGCGGGCCGCGCACAGCTTCAATTACAGAGGGGGACAGGCAGAAGGAGGGGCCTCACGTCAAGGCCAGTCTCTCGCGCGCACACGCTGGCCTGCATCGACGCCACCCGCACTGGAGTCGCGACCCTTCGATGAGGTGCTGCTGCTGCGACGACGGCGCGAGACATGCCCGACGAAACGATCGAGACGTCCGTCCGAACTCCTCAATTCGGCCGCATGGCACGGAATGTGGTGGATGACTGCCGTGACACATGTGTGGAGTCTACCGTGAGGCAGGTGTGGTAGATGCTTGACAGTTTTTTCATGATATGTACACAAGGTGGTGTCCATGCGCGGAGTCTACCGGGTGATATGCCCACACGGGAGAAAGTTTGACCGGCCATCGCTCTGGAAGATCTCGCTGACTGCAGGGAAGCCGCTGGTGGTCTGGAAGGGGGGAGCTTCTGCAGGAGGTGAAAACTCGATGCCCAATCTAAAGTGGCCATCACGGCCACAAGCCAAAGCAAAAATGCCACCAGGTGACAGATCAATGCCTCTCAGTCGCTTGCCGCGCAGGGCCGCCTGAACATGATTTATCCAAGGAGGCGACGGCTTCGCCATCGTGGTCGGACTCGTCCAGCACGTCGTCGCCGGGCGCGTCCAATACGACAAGGCACGCTTCGGCATCCTGGATGTTGTTATCGTCGTACCCGCTCGCATCTACCACGTCGTTCTTCAGACAGGTCCTGGAAACCTATGTCGACATCGTCTGGTTGGGACATCGTTAGGTAGCGGAAGACCGCGAAACTCTTCAAATTGGCGGGCTTCGCGGCCCGCAATATCGCCGAAGATTGCTCGAGATGCTCACACTGTCCCGCCTCCTAGGCCTCGAAGTCGTCATCGCTGTAAAGATCATCCTCGACGTCCTCAGCTGTCGTGGCCTGCGCCGCCTCCTGAAGCTCGAGCAGATGGGCGGCCGACGACGAGGCAGATGGCTCCTTGAGATGCTGGCCTGGTCCCGCCGCCTCTGCGTCGATGTCATCATCGCTGTGGGCGCCATCCTCGACGTCCTCAGCTGGCCCAGCCCGCTCCTTCGCCTGGAGGTCCATCCGAGCGGCGGCCGACGACGCTGCCGAAGACTCCTCGGCCTCGAAGGCCTCATCGCTGTAATCATCACCCTCGACGTCCTCACCCGGCGTGGCCTGCGCCCTCTCTTGGAGTCCCAGCCGGCTCGCGGCCGACGACGTCGGCGAAGACTGCTCGAGACGCTGGCCCAGCCCCGCCCCCTCGGCGTCTATGTCCTCATCGCTGTAGGCACCATCCTGTAGAGCAACAAAGAGCCACATAACACCCAAACTTGCGGCGCTCCGCGCGAACTTCTTGCATCCGCGCCTGGCCCCCCCTTTCTGGCGCGCGCGGAGCGCGCCAGGGGCGGCGCCGGGGGCGCCTCCAGGGGGGCCCAGCGCGGCTCCGAGAACTCCGCGCGGAGCGCCAGACGTGTCTGCTCCTCTTCGTGGTGGCTGCCTCGCCCTCGATCCCTTGCCGTCGCTCGGACGTCCATTTCCCGTGCATTTCTCGGCTTCGTGCGTGCTTTTTTTGCTCGATGGTCCAGGATGGTCCTCGCCGAGAAAAAATGCGCACGTCCGAGCGATGCCAGGATCCTCGACGTCCTCGCGCGGCGTGGCCTGCGCCCCCCGCCGCGGCGCCGGCGGGCTCGCGGGCGCCGGGGGCGCGCGCCCCTCGGCCGGAGGAGGCGGGCCGCGCTGCGGCCCCGGGCGGCGAGGCCCGCCGCCCGCGCTGCCCCCCGAGGGCGCGGAGGCGCTCGCCGAGGAGCCGGAGGCGCTGCTGCGCGCGGTGCCGCGGCCCGCCTCGGCGCGCGGCAGGGGCACCACAGTGGGCCACCGCGCCTCGAGGGCCTCGATCAGCATCGACATGCTGCAGGTGGGGGGGGCGCCGTGGGAGAGCTCCGCGAAGAGGGCGCTCAGGTTCAGCGGCGTCCCCGTCTTCACGCCCAGGCTGTACAGGGGCGCCCTGAAGCCGTCCCTGTCCAGCTGCTCCTCCAGTGCCGGCAGGCCCCTCAGCTGGGAGACGATGTCACGGGGCCGCGCGGACTCGCCGTGCTTGTGGAAGAGCCGGCCCACCAGGTCCTTCAGCACTGGCGTCCGCCCCGACGGCACCTCCATAGCCAAGTCGCCAATATACGCCGCGAGGTCCTCGGCCTGCTGGTCCAGGAGGTCCTCCGGGGTCATCGCGCTGCTGCCGACGTCCTGGGCGCCTCCGGCGGCCTGCCCTGCCGCCTGCACGTCGAGGGCGCACGGATGCAGCGGGCTGCTGCCAGCCTGCTCGTGGGGTACCCAGACGCCGCCGTCATCCCACACGAGGCGGCCTCCCTCCAGAGCGCCCTGCACTTCTCTCTGGAAGTACTGAAAGACGACCCTGTCGGGACCGACGGCCCTCAGACTCCCAGGCTTCAGACCAGGGCGGCTCGCCCACTTGACCTTTCCGCCCTCTATGAGCAAGGAGTCCACGGGGTCGGTGCTGCGCCAGAACCTTATGCGGCAACTCATGGGAGCCTCCCATACCATCGTGTTGGCTCCTGCGAATGGACGCTAATCGACGCTAAATCGACGCAAATCGACGCTAAATGGACGTTAATCGACGCTAACCGACGCTAAATCGGCACTATCTCACAGACTCCCAAACGCTATTCGACGCTAAAGTCTGAATTAAGCGGGTACACCAGGCTCCAATGATTTGCTACCGAGAGAACCCGCTCAGCGACTCGATCTGGAGGACCCGTCTGCCTCGCACTGCCACGGCCTCCTGGGACCCAGCCGCCGAGAGCGGACGGGCCGGCTTGGAGCCAGTTCGGCGCAAGACGCCCGCCGAGGACGGCCTCGTCAGCGAGGGAAAACTGGCGAAGCCAACGCCTGCAGGATACCCAGGCCGGCCGACGGCTGTCCCAGGTCTGGCAGCTGGCCGCACGGCTGCGGGGCCGCGCTGCCAAGCCGCCTAGGAGGAGGAGGAGGAGGAGGAGGAGGAGGCGGAGGAGGAGGAGAAGGAAGGGGAGGAGGAGGACGAGGAGGAGGAGGTGGAAGAAGAAGAGAAGGAGGAAGAGGAGAAGGGGGAGGAGGAGCGGGCCTGGCAGCTGGCCTGTTGCTTGACGCCGCGGCCGACCCCAGCGAGGAACGGCTGCCTGTGCAGCGCCGCCGCCGGCATGCTAGCGCAGCGATTGAGGTGCATGCCGTCCTTGGCATCTCCACCACCCTCGGAGATCTGCTGCATGCGCCGGATGAGTCTTTCAACCCCCTGCGCATCACCGTTTTTTGCTGCTTCGAGCACCTGATTCAGCCTATTGCACAGCGCATTCACCAGGGGCCACTTTCCCGTCCCGATCTTCGAGAAGGCCGTGAAGTGCGAGGTCAGCGGCTCGAGGCCTACTGGGTCGACCACCACCACCTCGAAGGCACCCAGCCTGGGGTAACGAACACCTGCCGAGCCCGTGTCATCATGGCGCCCCCTACGAGGTACGAGCCGCCCCTCTCTGGCGCACCCCAGACTGCTCGCGCAAGAAGACGCGGCAGGAGACCCTGGGCGAGGCCCCGGGTTCAGCCGCACGCTGATCTTGACGCCCGTGCTGGCGCCCACGTCCTGCTCGAGCCTCCGCTGCAGCACGCCGAACAGGTTCGCGTACTTGACCGACGCCGGGGGCCGCTGGCCGAGGCCGCAGGGCCCCTGGCTGGGGGCCTCCGGGCCGTGGCACTCCACGTGGACCTCTATGCTCGGCATCGCCCTCGGGCGACGCCACCCTTCGGGGCCAGCGCCCCGCGAGGGGCGCGTGGGAGGTGCCGGCGCCTGCTCCGCGGATGCCTCGAGCCCACGTGTCTGCAGACCAGGGATGCGTGGAGTCGAGCCTCGAGCAGCCCGGGCTGCTCAGAACCAGGCCCCGAGGAGCGCGTCGGAGGAGCGAGGTGCCAGGCAGCCCCCTGCCAGCCATCGGCGCGCCTTCCTCCCTGTCAGCTCCGAGGAGGGGGCATGAAAAGGTAACCACGGAGATCCGACGTCGCGACACAGAGCAGCGTCGTGCAAAATCACGATCGGAGCCCTTGACCTCGTCTCTCTGCCGCATCGAACGTATCCGCGAGGCCCCCCAGGCCCGAAGTCAGGCGAAAACGGCCATGGGAAGCACAGAGACGGACTAGCACTACATGTCCTGGTTGGAGGCATGCGTCCAACTCGAACATATCGTACGACAATATTGTAGCATATCGCTTCACTTCCCCAAACGGTGTGGCCAGAAAGCGCCCGCCACGCCGCACGCACTAGAAGATCTCTCGGTGCGCGAGTCGCCCCCGGGGAGGGGGGGGCAGCGCACGCGTAGTATTAGCATGTCGGGGCGACGCAGAGGCCAGTGCGAAACAAACTGCGACGTCCAGGTCTCGGCTACACGCAATGAGTGACCCTGGGTAAGAGTGACCTCTGGCGCGCGGCGCTTCGGGGGCCGCCGGGGGACCAAACACGAGCGCGCAAGACGCTGCTGCCGCCTCGCGTTCGGCCATCGGGGGTCGGGGGACCCCAGTCAGCCCGCACCAAAGGTCACTCCGGCGAAGGGTCGCTCTTACGTGAAGTCTTGGGTCGGGCATGTCCTCCTACGGGCAGGTCTTGGCAGAAGAGCAGAAACCAGTCGAAAAGATTCAGACGCTGCCAAAAATAGTCGGAAATCGTCGCCTGACTTTTTTTAACATTCTCGGGACATGCCCGACTTGAGTGTCGTCGAAGGCCTCACTCGGCTACACGCAGGAGTGACCCTGGGCAAGAGTGACCTTTGGCGCGCGACTTTTGGGGGGCCGCGGGGGGGCCCTGGGCGCGCAAGCAGCTGCTACTGCTTCGTTCTCGGCCCTATGGGGACCCATCTGTGCCCGCACCAAATGAAGGGAAACTGGGACACACAAATAAATACACACAAATAAAAAGATTCTCCATATTTTCCTATATTTTCTTGGTTTTTGTCTTCCCCACCACTTCCCGTGTTTTCCCATATTTTCCGTTGGATCGACGATGAATTGTGTCTGTGTGTGTTTTTCCCCTCCTGACCAAAGGTCACTCCGGCGAAACGTCACTCTTAGACGTCTAGTCGACTCGCGGAGGGGGCGCTCCGCCAGGGCCCGGCGCCCCCGACGCGGCGGAGGGGGCAGCCCCCTGCGCGGCCCGCCGCCCGACCCGGGGACCCCAAGGGGGCGGGCGCCTCCGCGCGGGCGCTCGGCAGTGGCAGGCCCGACCGAGGAGGCACCGGGAGGCGACGGCAGCTCGGCCGCAGTCGGCCCGGATTGGACAGGGAGCGCGAGGGGGCACGAGGCCCTCCCGAGGGCCGCATCGCCAGAGGAGGGTGAGGAGGCACGTGCCGCGAGGCGCAGGACACAAGGGCATGCACCTTTGAGCTGGCAGGGTCGGCCCACGAATCCGGGCCGGCCGTGCGCGCAAGTCGGCGGCGCGCCGAGGAGGGAGGCGAGGAGAGGCGGGCCTTCCCAGAGGGCTCGGAGGCCCCCCCCGGCCTCCCGAGGAGTCCTCGGAGCCCTTCCTTCCCCGGAGGCACAGGAAGCTTCTCAGCAGGCGCGAGGGCTTCTGAGAAGTCCCGCCGCCGTCTGGGAAGCCCCTCTGCTCCTCACTTCCCTCCCCCCGCTCGTCGCCGGGCAAGAGCGGCCCCGGGTGAGAGCGACCTCTGGTGCGCAGCTTTCGGGGGCCACGGGGTGGCGGACCCCGAGCGCGCAGGAGGCTGCTGTCGCATCGCGCTCAGTCACCCGGGGGCCCCACTGTGCCCGCACCAGAAGTCGCTCCGGCGAAAGGTCACTCTTCCGCGTAGCCGAGCCACGCAGCACGCGCCCCCACCCCCTCGCACGGAGGGGCAGCTCGCCAGGACTCCCTGCACCGACTCGGCGGCGAGGGGGCGGGGCTGCTCCGGAGAAGGCGGGGAGCTCCTCGGGAGCCCCCCCCCCTCTGAGAGGCCCGCTGCGGCTTCGGACAAGGCTCAGGAAGCTTCTCAGATGGCGGAGGCCTTCTGGGCCTTCGGATGCGGCCCACCCCCTCTCGGACGCCTGCTGGCTCCTGGGTCATACCTCCGCTCTCCCGTGGCCACTCGGGAGGAGCCGGGCACCTCCGGGGCCCTCTCGACGGGGCGCAGCCGCTGGCACGCATCCCGAGGCTGGAAGACTGGCGAGGACGGCCGACAAAGCCCAGAAACCCTGTGAACCCCGAACCTCGAACGCGAAACCCCCCAACTTCACCCCTGGGCGCGCCGCCGACTGACGGGACATCCGCGGCGACCATGGGCGGGGCGAGGGCCTGGACGGACGCGGACGTCGGGGTCCCAAGCGCTCATCTGCGCAACCTTGGCGGCCGGGCGCCATGGCAGGAACTCCACGGCCATGCCCACTTCGCTCCGGGCCCCTGGGCCCTCAGACCCGCCGGGCTCGAAGAGTCCAGCAGCAGAAAAAGTGTCGAGAGCTCCAGTTGTGTGAGCCTCCACAGCGCCGCAAGTGGTTTTCGTTGCTCGGCTCTGGGCGAATGGTCACCAGCCCCGCCTGGCCCTTCGAAGAGTTCCCACGCAGGAGATCGGCGGCGGGCGAGGGTAGAAGCGAGAAGGAGATGGCCTTCTCAGCAGGCGGCAGTGCTTCTCAGAAGCGCCCCGGCCTTCTGCGAAGTGCTCTGCGCCTGCGGGAAAGGCTCAGAAAACTTCTCACGATGTCGGGGGGCCTTCCGAGCCTCCTGGGCAGGCCCGCCCCTTCTAAATCCGCCCCCATCGCTCGCCGCCGACGGAGGTCTCGAGAGTGTCCAGAACCTGTCTGACTGAGGAGGGAGGAGGGGGGAGGGACGGGCGCGTCGGGCCCCCCTGCTTACCCCTTCGGCCTCCTCCCTGTCACAGCCGTCCTGCTGATCTGCCTCGGCCTCCTCCGCTCTCTCCTCCTCGTCCTTCTTGGTCTCCTTGTGTTCGCGTTCGGTCTCGCTGGTGAGACGGATGGGGGGGGGAGGAGGGAGGAGAAGGAGGAGGAGGAGGAGGAGGAGAAGGAGGAGGAGGAGGGAGGAGGAGGGGAGAGGAGGAAGAGGAGGAGGAGGAGGAGGAGGAGAAGGAGGAGGAGGAGGAGCATCGAGGTCGCTCGCGGAGACACCGCTCGCGAGCAGCGGGCGGACGGCTCTCTCGGCCCGTCGGCTCAGCATCTCGGATGAGTCGGGGGGGGGGGCGGGGCCGCCTTCTCAAAAGCGCAGGCGGGCTGTGTGCGGCCCGCACGCCTCCCACACGGGGCATCCTCTGAGGATTGCCAAGGGCTGCAAGGCCGCACTGGATGCCGTGCTCGCCAGCTGGGGTCGCCGAGTGGCAAGACCTGGGAAAGGACTGGTTGACCGATCCTCCTCCCGCCAGCACTCTGGGCTAAGGTGGTCTAAGGAGTTCTTTTGTTTACCTCTTCCAAAACCCTCTTCCCTTCGGGGAGGTTTACCTCCCCCCTCCCTGGGTCTGGCCGGGGGGGGAGCGGAAAGGTTAGAGCGCCCAAGATGGCCCAAGATGGCTCCAGAATGGCCTCCGATGCTCCAAGATGGCCTCTAAGGCGGCTCAAGATTGTCAAAGATGGTCCAAGATAGCTTCTGACATACCTCCAAGAGGCCCGACCAGGGCCACAAGACGGTTCCAAGTGCTCTCAGAGCCTGCTCAGGATCCCCTCAAGAGGCCAACATCCTTCAGAACCCCATGGAAAATCAATGAGTTGAGCCGTCTCGCCTATTCGCTTCCGATGCGCTTTTGAGGCCACAGGATGGCCCAACAGGCCCCCCCAAACGGCCCCAAGAGCGGCCCAGGAACGCCCCAAGAGAGCCCTAAGAGGCGATTGTGTTGGCCCCAAAAACAGGAAACAAATTGGGGACGCCCCCCCTTCCTTCTGATCGATGGCCTCCAAGATGGCCCAAGGGGCTCCAGGGCCCCCAAGGGAACCCAAGGAGAGCCCCACGAGTGCCCCGAGAGGGCCCCAAGACCCCCAAAAGAGCCCCAAGAGGACCCAAAGATCCCTCAAAAGAGCCCCAAGAGGGCGCAAGAGGCGATTTTGAGGGCTCGATCCTCGTTCTCGTTGACCGTCTCCTCCTCCTTCTCCTCCTCCTCCTCCTCGTCCTCGTCCTCGTCCTTGCCCTCATTGTCGTATGTTTCCTGCTCCTCCTTTTCTCGTCGTCGTTGTTGTCGTCTTCCTTCTCCTCCTCTTCTTCCTCCTCTTCCGCCTTTCCTCGCCATCACGCGGGCCCCAGGGATGGCCCGAAGAGGCCCTCCAAGGCGCACCCCTTGCTCCCAAAAATCTCTCTGTTCACCCTGGTTGCCCGCTTTATTGCACTATGTGTGTGTGCCTCTTCGTCCGTTTTCTCGTCAGCTCCCATGAGCAGGGCTTCTGAATGGGCCGGTGGGGATTTTTTTGATCGCGACCGCGGCGAAGAAAGGTCGGGCGGCGTCGAGGGCGGTGCAGACAAGCAACGGCCTAAACTATCGCAAGAGGAAGCTGGTGGGGATACGCGACGCGTGAAGAATTGTCCTACTGTAAGCTTGCTGGCGCTGGCCTGTCTCATCCTTGGGTGGCGTAGACACATGCGCACACACACACACACACAGACGAACACTCACACACACTTACACACTCACACACTCTCACACACACACAGCATACATCTTGGGATAACGCTGGAACGCACATCTCGTCGGCAGGTGATTTGCTCGCAATCCTGCCAAGGCTAGGGCCGACTGCCACCTCCTCGTGCCCCAGATGGCAGACCAGCGCATGGATTCGGCCGCGTGGCCGCCTCCCCGTTCTCCTCCCAGTCCTCTGCCTCCTCGCTCAAACTCGCCGCAGGGACGCCTCGCTGAATCAAGGGCTACATGAAAGGACTCCACAGGGCCTCGCTGCTGAAGGTGGCCAACGGAGGGCGGCCATCCGACAAAGTCGGTCGCCTTCGCTCTTCCT